ACCACCACCACCACCACCGCTACTCCAGCGACTACAGCATAAGAGCCCAGGACATCAACGCCCTGCTGTCCTCGCCCTTCGACCTCATGCAGCGCATCCTGGGCGAGTCTGCGCAGATGCCTGACTGAGCCCAAAACCCTAAACCCTAATCCCCAAACCTTGCATACCCTATGGATAGGGTAATGTAGGTAAAGCTACCACATACAGTACCACATGCCCCAACAGGTAGCAGATGAGGGATCCCTTGGCCTGATTGCCCGGAGCCGGCAAATCTTTACGACCTGTACAACTCACGTCTTTCACTGCATCCGCACCCGAGGAAGGATTCCATCTACGACACAGGACCGGAGGCCTCATGCAACGTGCATTCCAGGAGATTGCGAGGATCTCACAATGTGTCCGCAGCATCAATGTGCCCTTCCCCCTTCTCCGCTCCACTTGGCCAGAGATCCCATCCCCCGAGGTCAATCCCTCAAGGTTGGTTGGGGTTACCCCGAACCCCAGGTCAAGGAAAATTCGTCACGACGGTTGGCACAGGTTCCGACCATGCGGAACATGCCCTACGTCATGGCTGTGGCTCGGCAGCAGGGAATGATCTACTTTGCATGTGGCCGCGCCACCTGCGTGCGGACTGCAGGTGGAGCACATTACGGAGATTGTCAACAGTCCTGAGATGCCCCTTGGCACAACAATTGAGCAAGGACGGTGTTCTGTTGACACTCAATTTCCTGTGTCCTGTGGCGGCTCCCAGCAGCAAGATGTGCAGGTCTTTCACCGGTGAGAATGCCGTGGAACTTTTCATCAAGCTGTACTCTCTGTTCACACAGCCCCGCCCCCGGCTGCTACAGGGATGAAGGGTGCGGAGCGACGGCCAAACTCTAAACTCTAAATCCACCCAAAGTATGTCGCTCGTGATGTTTTCCGGGGGTGCTTAAGTAGGGCGGGGCTTCAGGAACTGTTGCGGAATCTTCAATGTAAACCCCAAGCCGAAGCCGTAAAGCCCTATAAACCCTACAGTAAAGCCCCAAAGCCCTAAAGCCCTATACCCTTACATAGCATCAAACCCTAAAGCCCTGAAGCCCCAAAGCCCTAAATCCTTCACCTTAAAGCCTAAAGCCCTTGAAGCCCTCAACCCTAAATCGAGGTCCCTGGGAGTGAAGCTGCCTCGTGCAGTCGGCGCCCCATCTTCTCCCAAGCAGCCAGGGCTCTGACGCAGAGTAGCAAGCAGTAGGAATGGGCGAAGGGCTCGTGAACATCCTGAGCCAGCTTGCTGTAGTAGCAATCGCCGGTAAGTGCGCTCCATTTGGACTGGTCCTGATTGGCTGCCCGCCGGGCAGCTGCCCCGCATTTAGTTCAAGATCTTCGGTCCGCTGAGCAGCCAAGGAAACCAGGCATCATGACAACTATCTTCCTGATTAACAGCAGAAAGACATTTTCTGCTGCTGCTGCTGCTACTACTGCTGTTGCTGCTGCTGCTGCTGCCGCCATTCTGTTGCTTCTAGTGTTATTTTCTGTTGTTGCTTTTGTCGTTCGTGTCGTCGTCGCTGCCGCTGCTGCGCTGCCGACGCTGCTGTGGCTGCTACTGGCCCGGCTGCTTTTGTTCGAGGGACACGTGCGAAGGTGAACCCCGTCCACCAGCACACCTTTGCCACATTGTCCTTGGCGCTGGCGGGTGCCAGTCAGAACCACGGCATGCTGCAGTCACTGCCGACACCTCAGAGTCATCCCCTTACCTGCTATAAAGCTTCGCTTTTGGCAACATCAGGTGATGCCAGGTATCAGGTTGCAAACGGGGACACTTCGTAATTCGTGGGAGGCTTTTTGGGGTAGGCATGATGCAGCCCTGGATGCCTCCTTTATGCCCACGTCAATCCGGAGCGAAAGGAAGCGGTTTCATGTCTTTGAGGGCAGCGCGGGGAGTTGAGGCAACCATTAGGGGCTTCGGGGTCTCTAAGCTGCAAACCCCAAGCCCCCACCTACACGCAGACATCACAAAAGCCTAAACCTTGGGCTCTAGAGCCCTGAACCTGAACAAACCCAAACCCCTAAATCCCTGAACCCACAAATCTCAAGACCCCTAGACCCCAAATAATCCGCCCGTATGCAAGCCGCTTACTCCTGGGAACTATCGCGAGCTTCAAGGCCAAAGCCTAAACCGCAAAGTCTAAATCCTAAACCCTAAGCCCCAACACATCCTCTATGCCATTGGGATCAGTTGAACAGTTGACGCGCATATGGACAAGATTTGACAAGTGCCTTGCTACTTACTCCAGGAAGCACCCAAGACAAATGGTCCACTTACGACGACCTTACCTAGCCTCCAAAGCCGCGTCGCGACCTCTGGAAAACACGTATAAGGACCTCCCACCTTAAGTCAACAAAAACCTCCCCTAAACCCTGAACCCTAAACCCTAAAGCCACAAAGTTAAATCCTTTCAGTCTTTGGGAGGAGTTCGCCCGCATAGTGCCCCGGTCCAGGAGCTCCTGACCGGCGGGGTTTGACGCTTAACCGATGAACGCCCTAAACCCTGGACCCTATAAAACAACCCCAAAACCCTAAACCCTAAAATAAACCCTAAAATAAACTCTAAAGCCTAAACCCTAAACTCTAAACCCTTAAAAAAGAAAACAAAAAACCCTCAACCCTTTTGGGAGCTCCCGGGAGAGCCTTCAGGCTTCACATCTGCCGTCGCAGTCGCAAGGTGGGCTTCCCGTTGGTTCCCAAAGATATCCGACACCCTTTGAAGGATCCCTTAAAGGAACCCCCAAAGGGTTTGGGGTTTTAGGGTTTTAGCGTTTTGGGGTTTTAGGGTTTAGGGTTTAGGGTTTAGGGCCCCAGAAAGGATTCCTTTAAAGGAACCTACCCAAAAAAGAAGATTCCTTTCAAGGCACCCTTTGAAGGAACCCTTTCAAGGAAACCAATTCAAGGAACCCTTTAAGTAAGGGTTCGTTGAAAGGGCTCTATATAGGGGCTCCTTCTAAAAACTTTAAACCCTAAAAACCCTACGCCCTGAGCCCTAAAAACCATAAACCCTAAAAGCCCCGACCCCTTCCCTCAGAAAGCACGTGCTGCAAAGCTCAAAATCCGAATCTGCCGTCCCGCATGGTGCTGTCACTCGAATCTCCAGATAACTTGTAGTTCGTATAACCAAAGCACCCACTACGACGGCTCTTCGGAATCGTGGAGGAATCCGTGTCGCCTCTCTCTTGTGTGTGTGTATGTTTTGCAGGCCGGTGGCTCTGAAAGGATCTGTTGCCATCATGCTTTTTCAAGTTTTCCGCAGCAGCAGTGAGGTTACCATGACGTCTAGGGTCGATGATGATGATGTTTTCAACGCAGAAGTTGCGCGCCTTCAGCGCCGACTCGCAGAGCTGCAGCGTCGGGTCCAGAATGCCGTTCTGATTCTTGAACATATTTTGCTCTGAGTTTGCAGCCTGGGCTGGTAGCGAGGAGCAAAAGCAGCGCAAGGAGAGGGAGGAACGCAGAAGGCAGCACCAGCGCATCTTCCAGGAGGTTCACAAGAGTGCGAAGTCATGGGCGGTGTCCTCGGGACAGGTTTCGCATGTCGCAACCTTACATCCGTCTGCCTGGAACACCTGTGTTGGCCCAGGCGACGGCATACGCAGACTCCTGGACTTATGGTCTTTTTAGCTACTGCTGCGTCGTGCGCCTCTCAGCCCCGAAACTGCACAGGAGGCTCAGGCCTTTAGCTGCAATTCGCGGTTTAGGGTTTAGGGCAGTTTAGGGTTTTGGGGTGTAGGGATCCTTCTTCGCACGAGGCCAACTTGGGACAGAATGGGCGGTTTTTTTGTCCAGAGGGCCCATGTATGCTGTAATCCTGAAACTTGGTCCCCAAGAACCATAGTACCTTTGGAGGATTGATTCCATACGGATAGTAAACAAGGATCCTCTTAGTTTGTGGTTGCCAGGATGCAGGCGCAGAAAAAGTGGTCCAGGCCGCTTGGTCTCTGATTTATCCGTCGACCCGTCGCCAGGATTATGCCTTTTTTCCAGGCCGCGCGGTAAACGAGGAGGCAGGGCTTGACACGCCTTCGGGCCCGTTCGTGTCCTCCCTCCCCCTGCTTCGGTGGGGGGGAGGGGGCGTTTGTTTTGTTACAGGGCGGCACAAAGGCCGTGGCGCGACTTGGTGTTGCGGCGATGTGTCTTGGGAGCGGGGGGGATTGGTGATGGTAGTGCTTAACTCCTTCAACATTGGTTTTCATCGTGTGGATGTCATAACGCCTCAGCATGCTTAGGCCACCACCCTTACCCCTTCACCCCTCCCAGCCTTTCAGCCCTAAACCCCAAACCGTGAACCGTATCCCAGCGCCGCAAGAGAAAAGGCAAGCGCCGTGGCAAGCGAGCGGCTCGGTTCGAAGAGTCGTTGTATCTTACACGGTTTTGGGTTTTAGGGATTTAGGGGGCAGGCCGCTTAGCCAGGATACCACCAGCTTTATGGAGCACACGGCTTGGCCTTCTTGGCCCTGCGCCTGGGCGAATGCAGCAGCCGTCCAAAATATCGCAGGTTACGAGACATGTGCAGACCAGACTGTCTGTCTTTGTCTCAACTTGTGTATTTGCCTATCTGCCTACATGACATCATCGTGGGTCTGATGAGCGCTTGGATGGAATTTTTTACGGTTGTTCCATGCAGCTGGAACGGCTCCCAGTGCTGTGCTGATTGGACGGCCGGGGCCACATGAATGTTTTCATTAGATGTGCCATTTGCTGTTGTGTAGGTGTCAGTGCATGTTTGGACTTTTCTGGCAATTTCGCTTCGGACAGCCTTGCCTGGGCTTGTCAGCTGCTGCGCGGAGTTGGCTGCGCACCCGTTCTGTGAAGGCTTGCATGTAGAATTTCAGAACGATCCTTGATGACACCTGCGGCGCAAGCTTTGCTGTCGCATTCTGGCGGTGTGAAGGGCACAGCTCACCTGATTGTGCTTGTTGCCCTACTCTTCTTACTGTAAACCCTAAACCCGAAACCCTAAAAGCCCTAAACCCTAAAAAACCTAGACCCAAAAACCCAAAAAACTCAAAAAACCCTAAACCCTTGAAAACCCTGAAAACCCTAAACCGCAAGCCGTAAAACCCGAGAAACCCTAAACAAAGCTTTGAGGGGTACATTTAAAGGTACGTTTTCGGGTTACTTCGACGATGCAGTGTGCTGTGAGTTTTTTCGCGATCCCTCTAGCAGAGACTCCAAAACCCGCTGAAATCAGCCATGTGCCGTAGGAATCATTGTCTGTTCGAAGGACTACTCCGATTATTACTTACAGGGCTTGTAGGCACTTTGTTTCAGAGCTGTTGGGCTTGGAAGTTTTGGCGGGCTCTGGGCATTTTGGCTAAGAGGTCTGTCCCAGTTTCAGGTGGCTGTTCCTGCTTGCAAATGTTCGCAGAACCCTCTTGCAAGCAAGATACATGTCATAGATTTAGGGTGCCGCGGGCGACGTCGCCTGGGGAGCCATGGGTTCGTGATAGGATTTGTCGGCGAAGGGGCTTTGAGTTCAGGGTATGGAGTTCTAGGCCTAGAGACAAAGTCTGCGGTATGGGCCGGCATGGGGATTGCGCGAGGGTAGGGTTTAGGGCTCAGGGTCTCATCGACGGTGTTCTGCCCTCGCCAGTGGTGCGTCTTGCCCGTTATTTCGAGTGCTTGACTGGCGTCCACTGTTTTAGAGCCACAGAATGTGAATATTGCTGCTGTTCTGTCTTTGGATAACCATCAGCAGCATGATGTCTTGTTGCTACTACTATCGTGATTGCAATGCAGCGGACAATAAAGCCTTGACAGTCGTGGCGACAATACTGCGGATCCTCTGCAGTATTCGGCGTTGGGTTGACGGATTTGTGGTTT